CAGAGACGCATGCAGTAGCGGCGGAATGGCAGAGCATGGCGCGACAACGGCTGGGATCGCACAAACGTCCTCTGCGCCATACACGTTCATCCTCTACAACATATACATGGAAACGACAGTTTGAGGTCAACACAACGCAGGTACAATCACAACGGCTTCTCGCTCCCAGAGTCCATCGACGCCTCCTTCGTTTCGCCTCCGACCACTGCAGCCTCCGAGTCCCCACCAGCCCCGCGCCTCTCCTGCAGCGCAAACCGATCGTCCGTCACCGTGTGCATCGGCACCTCCCGCAGGATCGCGAGCGTCACGAACCCGCACGCCGCGACCCCCGCGATCACCTTCCACACCACCGCCAACGACTCCGCGAACGCGACCCGCACCTCCGTCCGCAGCGGCTCCTCGAGTCTCGGGATGAGCGGGATGGCCGCGTACGCGACCTCGACGCCGGCTGGGAACTGCGCGAGGAACCCGGCCGGGAGCCGTCGCTTCAGCTCGTTCTGCAGGATCGTCGCACAGATGGTGATGCCCCACGTCTGCACATTCGCATAGGGTCGTCAGTAGAAATACTACGGTGGACGCAGGGCCAGGGGACTGACCTGACCGAAGCTGCGGACAAAGTTCTGGAACGCGAGTGCTGCTGCCATGCGCGGCACCGGCACCGCGGCCAGGATCGGGAAGACGTTCCCAGCCCACTGCGCACACTACGGTGAGCGAACGCTCCAATGAACGCGACCGAGACTCACGATCGATCCGACACCAGCCCCGGCGATCATCTGCAGCGGGACCCAGAGCCCGGTAGGCGAGTCCGCCTTGAGGAGCGTCAGGAGGCTGAAGCCGATGATCTGGACCGTCCAGCCGAACACGTTGATCGGCAGATACCTGCCCGTCTTCTTGATCACGATGCCGGCGATGATGGAAAACAGCGGGGAGAACAGGTTGGCGGACAGCTGGTCGACGCTCGAGCGGAAGGGAGAGACCCCCAGGCACGCCTGGAAGTACACCGGCAGGTAGTCTGCAGCCACCGCGATCAGACACGACGAAAAAGCGAGATCGTTGGACGTACACAGTGCAGAAATGAGGGTGATGCCCACGAAAAAGGTCGATATGTAGCTGCAGGGTAGGAGTGGTGGTGGCAGTGAGCTGGATGCCGTCGAGCGCTAGCGATGCACGCACCCACTGAGCGCCGTGCGATGGCTCAAGAGGTCGAGAGGAACGGTCGGCTCTGCGGGGATCGTCGCCTCGTACGTGAAGAAGGTGACGATGAGCGCCATGCCGATGACCAGCGGTGCGAGGACGTGGGGCGAGTTCCACGGGAAGCGAACTCCGGCCCAGGTGAGCGCAATCAGAGCGAGCGTCGTGCCCGCGATGACGATGAAGTTCCCACTGGAACCGGCAGTGAGCACAGGAGCACGCACGCTCGAGCAAGAGACGGACTCACATCCAGTCGACCCTGCCCAGCTTCTCGCGCACACTGCCCGGGGGCGTCTTGACGTTGAGGAAGACGGCGACGCACGCAAAGGAAACGCTAGCAATCGGGATATTGAGATCTGCAAGGTAGCGCCGTCATCGCACGTGGCAACAGCACTCGTGGGCAGAAGCACGTACAGAACACCCAGCGCCAGCCAGAGCCGTCGGCCAGAGCACCAATCTGCGGATGGTTGTGTTAGTGGAAGCAGGCCATTCGCACCGTGGGAGGCAACTTGGCTCACCACCAAGGGACCGACGCCGGACGCGAGGGCCCAGACGAGGACCAGGATGCTCTGGTAGGTGCCGCGCTCGGCGAGTGGCACGAGATCGCTGAGGACAATGGATCCCAAGTTGACGATGGCACCCCCACCGATGCCCTGGACAGCTGTGTACGCGGGTGTCGCTGGTGAGCACGTGCACTGCCACGCGCGGGTTGACGAAAACGTACTGCGTGCGGCAATGAGCCAGTTCATGGACTGGGCCGCGCCTCCGAGGGCGCTGCCGAGGACAAAGATCGCGATGGCCAGCAGCGCGACGGGCCGACGACCGAACACGTCCGCGAGCCTGCCGGAGAAGGGCAGGATGGCGGTGGCCGCGAGCCCGTAGGCAGAACCGATCCAGACAAAGTTGTCCCCGCCGTTGAGCTCTTCGACGATCTTGGGGACTGCGGTGGAGAGGGCGGTGAGGTCGAGTGCGCTGAGGAGGTTGGCGAGGATGATGGCGAGGAAGCAGAGCCAGAAGGCGGACCCCTTCTTGGTGGAGGGAGCTACATCTGACATGGTAGAGGGAGGTGAGGGGACGGAGAGGTGCGAAAGAGAAGAAGAGCGGGAAGAATGAGAGAGCGGGTGGGCGGACAGGGACTACTTACCGGTACGCCAGCCAGGGTACTGGCGCAAGCTCCCACGTGCAACGGACGTCGAAGAGCATCAGAGAAGACACCGCCGGACGGGTCGCGACTGTCTTAGAAGCCTTCCGCAACCGTTGAGGGTGACAACTCTGCGGGGGCGGTCCGGCAAATGTGTTACGTAAGTTCCCACTCGAAGTATCGTTTGATCCTGGAGGCGCTTACACATGACTCTTTGGTGCCACTCGATCGCATCACAATCTGAACGCGCACCACCCACATTGAACAGCGCCCACACTGGGTACACCCACCACATTCTACGTGCATCGATGATCTAATATCACGCCAAGTCCCCCTGTGACAATACGATGGTTGCCGCCCATTTCAAGCCGATTTCGTCTTGCCCGCGGTCCGACCTCAACGAACTCTACCCGGCGCCCGCGCCTGCGGAAGTAAGCTCGAGCGTGACTGGGTTCTCAGTGCTGCAAGCTTCTCGGCCCATCCGCATCTCCATCTGCTCAAGGTCATCGCCCTCGTCGCCTTCGCAGTGTCGTGCCTTGTCTTGACTCATGCTAGGCTTCCCGCCAATGAGTCGCGCCCGGGGGGTCTTACCCCCTTGTTCCACGACAACATGGCTCTCACCGCGGGATGGCTTTGTTCCTGCGATGAACATGGCCTTTCCGTCAGAGTCCCCTTTGGGGTCGCCCCGTCTTTGAACAGCACTTTCGGAGCCATGCTCACGGCTGCAGATTGCTCATCTTCCGTTTAGGATGTTTAAAATTTGTACCTTCCGAGGATTGATATCGATACAGAGTCTACGTACACTCGGATCCATCGGTCAGACCCTTGGTACACGGTGGTTCTCTTGATGTGTCCTGCACACGGACAGATCCTTTAGCTGACTTGCCTGACAAGGGTAAGTACTGCAAGCGATCGTACGCGCCGTTGAAAGGCTATACATCCAAAACCTATTCACGCACTGCGGTCCCTCGACACATATGAGCGATGGCTTCCAAATGCAGTCGACGAGTTTCATCATAGACAACCTGGTGAGTGGTATCATTCACCGACATAATGCGTTTCGTAATCTTATCACGATGTCATGCACAGTGTGCCACAGGTGGGCTCCTTTTCTCCCGCACGTCCGGTGGCGGCTTCAGCCCATGTTGCTTCTTTTAGCTTCCTTCCGGCATCCTTCCTACTATCATCGACACCAAGGTCACATCGGAGCGGCAGAACCATGCTCAAGGGGATGAGTCTCTTTGCCACTCTTTGACCTTCAAACGGCTGGGGGAGGATGTGTTCCCGCAGGATTGATGGGGTTCGCAGAGGGGGAGGAAGTGGGACACAGAGCAAACGACATGTATTCTACCGTTAGTGGCCCCAGGAGTCGCCTTGAAGTGGGAGGAATCCGGGACACCATATAAGTATGGTATCATATGGCGTGAGACAACACATGCAAATATTACGCCACCAGCGCTCTCCGCGCACGGACCTCGCTACAATTTTCTCTACCCTCGTCGTTGTCGCCGTCCATCCCGAATCCCCGTCTCTCTTCCTCCAGTATCGGCTGCCGCTACCTCTATCTTCGCACAAATGTCTTGAAGACACTGTAACGCGCGATTTCAGACGGAAGCCTGGCGCGGCACTCACCGTGCTGAGGGCTCCTCACACAACCCTTGATCTCCTTAGCGTTCTCGACCGGGCGTATGCACGCGGCACCCAACAGACTGGCCATCGGTACGTAGCCTGAGCTTCCCTAACGCAGCTCTCGAGGTCTTACCCTGTCTCACGGCCGCGCGCTAGAAGGCTCGACGTCTGGGACGCTCATGGATCCGGGGCGAGCGCGTGTCGCGCCACAAGTGTCCGCAGGAAGGCCATCTGGTAAATACACTCCTTGATATCTTGCGCGACCCCGGTTGTAATTGGAGGGCTGCTGGCCGTCAATACCTCCAATCTCGTTTTCCTCCTTCACGTCATAGAAGATGTCTCTTTGCTGGGCAGTTCTGTTAGTCTTTCGGAGATCCCCCATACCCCATGCGCTCCGTCCTCAGCTTCTCAAGTGGACGTCGCACCAATCGATGGACGCTGTAAGCACATTATATTTGGTCATCAATGGGTGTAGTGCGCCGCCCTCGAACGGTCGAAATATCCTCCATTTCTTGTACCGGAGTTTTGTTCCCTGCGGTCTTCTATGTCGGGACTGTACGCCTTCACGATGCTCTCGCCTATGTAAAAAGTCTATCCAATGATGCTGCTGGACGGGGACGTCACGCGTTGTATCAGCGCGTGGCGCTCCTTGGTCAGAAGAAGCTCCTTCCATCAGTGTAACAACCACACCAGACACGCTGCGGCTGCATTTATCGGAAAACGTCGGAATGCCGCCGCTGCGTGGACAAAGTCCCGGCGCGGACAGTTGTGATGCGAGAACCTGCACAAGCGCACACGCCGCATCCCTTTCGGGGCCTATCGGGCTGCCTGCTTCCTCCCTGTGCGTCACACAGGCCTCCCACGCCGCTTCCCCACCTTCTCGCGCCGGATACTTCCCCGGATCCAAGCCGCACCTGTCCATCGAGGCGGCATCAACTCCCCGGGTTCCCCGCTCGCACCAGCGATGCATTGATATAACCCACCTCTGCCCCGCGCCCCGCCGTGTACATGGCACGCAACTCCAGCATTCATCGCCGCTATGTGGACGACGACGACGACGACGCGTTTTGGGTTCTCCTCCCCTCGCAACGGCGCACACCTGACGTTGGTTGCCAAACGCTATGTTCCGCCTCGTCACGCGCCCGACGGCCTCACCCTCGTTCTCTCGCACTCCACCGGGACGCGTGAGTAGGCATGTTTTCGTTGTGCTTCCGCTCGCATTCACGCACTTTTCCCAGATAAGGAGACCTGGGAACCCTTCTTGGAACGCCTTGTTGGCGTTGCCAAGCACCCCATTCGCGAAGCGTGGGCATTCGACATGCTCGAGCACGGTGAGGGTGCCGCACTCAACGAGGGTGCGCTTGCGCGAGGTGGATTTGCCCCCGGTCGGTGTATTTTCTCCTTGCCCTTCAACAGACGACTGACTCGGGATCCATGCAGAGATTAAGGAGTACTCGGATGCGATTCGCGCGTTCTTTGCCGCTGGTAACTTCAAGGCTCACCGGCTCGTGGCCATCGGACACTCCGTCGGCGGCCCTTGTCTGTACGCCTATCTCCCATCTTGATCTACTTGCTCACGGCGACGAGCCGGTACCTGTGGCACTGCAGGCTCCTCGCGTCCGCGCCCGACGAAGTGCCCGGCGTCCCCTTCGAGGCGATAGTGCTCATCGAGGCCACGATGCTCACACCTTCGGTCTATGCCGCGAACGCGGACACACACGACGGCGCTCTCGCCGCCGCACGCGGCTTTGCAAGCGCGCCGAAGCGTCAAGACACCTGGCCGGACCGCGCCGCCGCCCGCGCCTTCCTCGACCGCCGGTACCCGTGGCAGCTCTGGGATGCGCGCGCCCGCGCGCTTTACGTCGTGGGTCTCCTTCCTCTTACTCGTCAACCGGGCAGAAGCTAAGGGCACTGCGGCAGCGGCACGGACTGCGCGACGCCCCGGACGGCAGCGTGACGCTGTGCTGCAGCAAGCAGCGCGAGGCGAACATATACCGCCACCACGAGTTCTACTACCGCGCCATCGAGCGCATGGCTGGGATCCCGGCTGCAGTGCCGGTCCACATTGTGTACGGGGATCGGGGGGACATCATGTGCGTGCTCACCGCCCTCTTCTTCCTGCGCTCGCGGCTTCCGCCGGATGCAGGACGCTGCGGGCGGAGACGATCGATCGCGCGCATGCTGACGCTGCCCCACGCCCAGTCCCGATTACGTGCGCGAGTGTCTGGTCGCCGTGCGCCCTGCGGCGGTGGTGCACGAGGTGCCGGACGCAGGCCATGCGGTGAGTCACCCGTTCGACACCCTTCTCTTCGTTTACGCTTGCGCGGGGGTGCTCACGGCGGACGTCGGCTGCAGGTTGTGCAGGAGAACCCGGACGGGCTCGCGGACACCCTTTCCCGGATTCTCAGCGGGCTGAGCAGGCCCGGGAAGGCGGCGAGGCTTTAATTTTTATGGGAAGCGTGTTGGTATCGAGTGCGCGCGCTCTCGTTCGCGGATGCATACGTGGGTGGGACTTCCTTTTGTTATTTTGCTACACTCTTCTGCTTCTGGTCGCGGGACGAGGGCAAGGGCAACCGTCACTGGCACACCGTCGCGGAACAGAAGCACGAATCCCGCGAGTCCCTCCCCTCCGCCCCAACTCAGGAAGGTCCGACGTCGATGACACAGCCGGAGCGGTCTGCGCTCCCACTGTGCCCGATATCACGCCATTCGTTCGGAAGTACCCTCGTCTCGCCTTCTCGCGAGCGATAACAATCGCGGCGAGCGCGACCTGCTAGCACTGCGCTCACGACCCTCGTTTGTGGGCGCACCCCGCGAGCGCGACTTGCCTTAACCGACGCGGCTCACGCCATGTGACGCGCCCGAGGTGCCGCCGGGCGCAACGCGCGTGGTGGCGCGTGGTGGGGCACTTCGGGTCTTACTGCGAGTGTACAGTGATCCTCACGAATGATCACTTTGGCAATCAAAAAGGCCTGGGCTTCGGTCCCTGTAAGTCATCTGCGGAACGCCTCTGGAGAAAGTGTACGCGTGGGCGGGATGGCGTGCTAGCTTCCTGCCCGTGCTATCCTGAAAACAGCTGTAGTTCGGACCATCAACGTGGTGTACAGTTGAACGGATGACGACCGGCTCTGGACGCCTCATGCGCCATCCCCTTGTTTACGGCCATTTGTGCGTATGGGCGGCGCATCCTCCTTCCACATAGGATATGACATATGAAGGCGTACGTACGCCAGGCGGAGACCGAAGCAGACAAAGTCGGCGACACCTGTGCGCCGAACCAGGCGGTGCTCACAGCTGAGGGGCGGAAATGCAGAAGTACGGAAGCGTTGGATAGGAGTGAGAAGGAGTGGGAACTAGGGGACGAAGTCGGTGTTTTGTAGGCGACGTGAGTCGACGCAAGGGAGTCCGTGGGGGAGAGAGCAGAATGGGCGCCCAACGGGGGTCAACGGCCCCCTCCATCTGCTTCTTCTGCTCAAAATACGTCTCCTGATGTTCGCCTCCGGCTTCGTTCGGGCACATTCTGAGACAGTTCTTCCTCTTTCGCCTTTGCGGCCCAGACCAGCAATGCCGTGCTTCACGTCCGAAGTTCTAGCTTGCTGCAATGCTGAAGGTCGATTCCCCTAGGTGTCACCGCTTCTAATTGCGCCGCGCGACAGTATGAAGTTTCAGCTTCACGGTCTCCGTCATAGGGTGCGTCTCTCGGGAGTCGTCAGGCTTGCCGGGGCCGACGGGGCATCCAAGCATCTAGAGGGTGACGTTCCCCTGAGGCGCTGAATGTCATGCTGTTCCCAGACCACGGCGTGGGGAACAATGATGGGTGGCGGCATATGCCGTCGCACTCCCTGCGCTCTGGCAGCTTGGTGCGGGCGTGCGACTTCAACGCACTTGCGCGTGCCTGAACGTGGCGGGTTCAGCGCGTGTGAGGCTCCTGCCCACTGACGGAAACTTCCTATCGGCCGCTGTCTTGTCGCCATCTTCGTCGTGAAACGTAGCGCCCACCGGTCCACGGCTCGCTTGCGATTATAAGCTTTGACTGTCCGCAGGAAGTACCGCGCCGATCGCACGCCCTTCCCTGTGCCGACCGGTCGCAGACGCACGTTCAGGCGGCCACTCTCCCCCCGCCTCCCGCCTCTGAGCTCCCCTGCCTCCTGCCAGCTCATCGGCCCCGCCGCGATGGCCGTCACGACTGCCGACGAAAGTCTATTCGTGATAGACGCCGTTGCGCTTCGTGTCGGTTTCTTCTCGCTTGTGCTGGTATACAACGTTGCTACGGTGGTGTACAACCTATGGCTCTCTCCCCTTGCTTCTATCCCTGGGCCGTGGTACGCTGCCGCTTCGGACGCATGGTTTCTCTTCCAGTCCGCCCGGCTCGCCAAGTGCGGCGCCCTGCACCAGCTATTCGAGCGGTACGGGCCCGTCGTACGCGTTGGGCCCCGCAAGGTCGTTTTCCTCGACGAGCGCGCGGCGCGGACCGTGTACTGCGTCAACAAGCTAGAGAAGAGCGCGTTCTACAAGATGCTCGTCATGTGCGTAGTGTCTACGACCTCTTCTTCGGGCCGTTTTGCTGATGCGTCGAGGCGGTCGAATTCGCAGAGAGGACCAAGACCATTCGTCAGTGTTTCGACTGCTTTCATGGCGTCTACTGAAATTTCTTTCAGAATGACAATGCTTTCCGAGGCGGACCACTCGGCAAGGCGGAAGACGTACGCCGCGCACTACTCGCCGTCAAATGTCCCCAAGTTCCAGTCTGAAGTTTACGACTGTGTCGCTCGTCTAGTCGACGTGAGTGCCCCCACTCTCCACTGGTGTTTGCCCCTGACGCTCCTTAATGTCGCTCACAGGCATTAGAGAAATGTTCGACTACCGGGTCTGTTGATGCGATTCACCTCCTTCGCCATCTACTTGTGGACGTCTTGGCCATCACCATTGTCGGATCCAACCCAACAGCGCTGAAGAACTGGGCATCCGCCGGCGACGACCCCATCGCCACAGCGGCGCGCGATGTACCTCTGCGGGCAATTTTCGTGAGCAATCACAGTATATCATTCAACGTCCATCGCGTTACTGACGGAAGATGCCGTTTGAAAGCGCGCGATTATGCCGACGTGGTTGTGGAGATGTTGTGCATACTTCCCTAGCTCACGATGGCGGGCCCTGTATCGTTCTGAAACCGTTCTTGCGGCGGTATGTGGTTTAATACCGTTATCCAAGATTTATGTGGCTGACGCGTGTTCTCCGTGAAGTATGTGCGCGACAGCCTCGAGGAGCTGCATCGGAAGCAGCGCAGTGAAGGGACCTTCGACGGGCCCGTCCCACTCATGCCGCGGTTGCTCTCCCAGAGGACGCCCAAGGTATACAATTTTCTTTCAGATCAAGAATTGGTGTCCGAATGTGTGTCCCACTTGTGGGTTCATTTCCACCCTATGTCCCTGGTACCCACGCTAATAAACGCCCAGAACCGCTGGAGTAGACGCGTCCTCGACGACGTTCGGGTTCATGCTCTGGGAGCTCTCGCGGCGTCCCGACATCGTAGTAAAGCTCCGGTGCGAGCTGGACGGGATCGCGCATGACAGACACACGCTCCCCGACTACGCGGTCCTACAGAAACAGCCGTACCTCTCCGCGTTCCTCAACGAAGGTGCGTCCCTGAGCGAGCCCAATCTCTGATCGCCGCCCGCCACCCACCATTCTCCCCGATACATAGGTCTCCGGATGTACGGCGCGGTGTCATCCATGCTTGAACGCGTCGTGCCCGCGCGTGAGGACGCCTTCGACCTCATGGGCCACGCGCTCCCGCCCGGAACCGTGGTCGGCACGCAGGCGTGGAGCATGCATCGAGACCCCACTGTTTTCCCCAGCCCGGAGTGCTTTGATCCAGACCGGTGGCTCCCCGCGCCCCAGCGCGCGGACGACGACGTGCGCGTGGCGAGGTGAGCACGTGTTCCTCCGTCCTCCTTCTTTGGCTTCCTGTCGTCCTCTGTCCGCCTTCCGCCTTCCCGTTCTTCCCTTTCTCTTCATTTCCACTTCCGTGCATTCGGAGCGCTGAAGATCCGCTGTAGAATGCAGCAGCATCTTATGCCCTTCGGCGCGGGCACGCGTGTGTGCCCGGGACGGTACCAGGCGCTACTCCTCGCGCGCGCGACGATATCAGCGCTTGTGCTCAACTTCGACGTCTCTGCGGACGCGCGCGAGACGAACGCGGCGACGATGGCGCCGCGCGACACCTTCGTGAGTGCCAGTGCGTTGTGCTGGTGTTGAGGACGCCGCTGACCAGCTTCGCTCTCCCTGTCACGTCCGGCGTCGATCGCAGGTGGTGCGCCCGGCGGCGATGGAGTGCAAGCTTACATTCACTCCTCGTGGACCGTGAGTGACGGGGATGTGGGAGGGGTTGGTTCGCACGCGTGGAGGATGCGTCTTTACCGGGAGGATTGGCGGAATGGCTTTGTATTTTACTCTAGTCTTTACTCGTTCCGCGTTGCGCTACGTTTGATTCTTACCTCATTTTCGACTAGATAGTGTACAACACCTCTTTGTTTACTTGTACATTCTGATTGTAGTTGTCTCTGTAACACATTCTACCTGATGAGCTAGGAATTTTCGCGCATCGAGTCTCGCGCAGTCGCGTGTCAGTGGGAAACGTCAGTATCTATTGAGGTGCGCAGTTATGTGCGACACATACCACGTATACATAGTGAGAATGGTGTAGAACATCTCCAATATCCTGAAAACGAGCAAGATCCTAGAAATATGAGACAACATACACACATTACCTGATGACCAGAACCTAGAAATCCACGATACGCAACTCTTCGAAGCAGTAGTTCATCCCAAAGCGCTACTACGCACAATGATGATATTGTCAAGTTCGGGGTATAGGTATCGATGATCAGCAAGAAACATAGAAGCAGTGACAAATCATACACGAGCCCGAGGCAAGCAGCCACCAAGAGAGAGCTTCACGTGCTGTCTAGCCGGAACAGCATCGTCGAGGGACGAATCGGATCTCGCGCCCGAGTGAGTCGAGTGCTGATTCTTTTGCTTGATGGCGTTCATATGAATGGCTGTATTACGTCACTAACGGGCGTCGGCGCTGAGTTTCACAAGGTCTTTCTTCAATGATAAGGGAAGTACGGTTACGTCCTTCAAAACGCGCCTTGAACTGACGGACCTGGCCTGGAGAGATTCAGGGCCTGCGGCTGTCGATATCTGTAGCGTGGGGCCCGGATTTAAGTAGTAGCACAAATGGAGCCACAAAACTGTGAACTGATATTTAAGAGGAGTGCACAAGTGTCCCGTTAATATGAGCTTCGGATGGGCAACGGCGCACTAATTATAATGAACGACAATTAATGCGGAGGAAGAAGTTGACGTCCTGAGGTTGAATTCGGCCCGACTCAGTGTGCGCCAATCACCGTACGTGTGACGTTCGGGGAAACGGATGGCCGGGAGGATATATTACGTCAGCACCGATTATCTGGCGCAGGCCGCCCGCTGAGGCACTTTCCTCCCCTTCAACCTCCGCAAAGGTTCTGGACAGAATCAACACAGGCGATTCCCATCAGCCTCACACCGCCTCTGTGTGGGTGGCGCGGCCAAGGCGTGTGTTCGACACCCTTTCAAATCACGGAATGTGGTCGCTTCATCGTCGCGCGCGCGAAACTGTGGTCTTTTTTTTTTCCTTCTTTTAAGTCGATCATTTATATCCCGCGTACGGACTATGGGTGAGGCATTTCTACGTGGATGGCACTTGTTGGGCGAGAACTGTGGTCTCCTACGGTACGTTTTGTTGGCTTCTACTCTGCCCTCGTGTCGATTGTGTAGTCATTTGTGGGTGACGCGTGTGACGCATCATGGTAGGGCCTCCGCCGGTTTACGGCTTTTATCATGTGCCGTTCGACTAAGGTTCGATCACATGCGCTGACCGACTTCCCTGCTGTACAGCTTACTTCACGATCGCTTCTCAGCCGGGCGGAGTGCGAAGTATCGAAGACGGTCGCGACCCGTCCGGCGGTGTCTTCTCTGATGCTCTTCGACGTCCGTTGCACGTGGGAGCTTGCGCCAGTACCCTGGCTGGCGTACCGGTAAGTAGTCCCTGTCCGCCCACCCGCTCTCTCATTCTTCCCGCTCTTCTTCTCTTTCGCACCTCTCCGTCCCCTCACCTCCCTCTACCATGTCAGATGTAGCTCCCTCCACCAAGAAGGGGTCCGCCTTCTGGCTCTGCTTCCTCGCCATCATCCTCGCCAACCTCCTCAGCGCACTCGACCTCACCGCCCTCTCCACCGCAGTCCCCAAGATCGTCGAAGAGCTCAACGGCGGGGACAACTTTGTCTGGATCGGTTCTGCCTACGGGCTCGCGGCCACCGCCATCCTGCCCTTCTCCGGCAGGCTCGCGGACGTGTTCGGTCGTCGGCCCGTCGCGCTGCTGGCCATCGCGATCTTTGTCCTCGGCAGCGCCCTCGGAGGCGCGGCCCAGTCCATGAACTGGCTCATTGCCGCACGCAGTACGTTTTCGTCAACCCGCGCGTGGCAGTGCACGTGCTCACCAGCGACACCCGCGTACACAGCTGTCCAGGGCATCGGTGGGGGTGCCATCGTCAACTTGGGATCCATTGTCCTCAGCGATCTCGTGCCACTCGCCGAGCGCGGCACCTACCAGAGCATCCTGGTCCTCGTCTGGGCCCTCGCGTCCGGCGTCGGTCCCTTGGTGGTGAGCCAAGTTGCCTCCCACGGTGCGAATGGCCTGCTTCCACTAACACAACCATCCGCAGATTGGTGCTCTGGCCGACGGCTCTGGCTGGCGCTGGGTGTTCTGTACGTGCTTCTGCCCACGAGTGCTGTTGCCACGTGCGATGACGGCGCTACCTTGCAGATCTCAATATCCCGATTGCTAGCGTTTCCTTTGCGTGCGTCGCCGTCTTCCTCAACGTCAAGACGCCCCCGGGCAGTGTGCGCGAGAAGCTGGGCAGGGTCGACTGGATGTGAGTCCGTCTCTTGCTCGAGCGTGCGTGCTCCTGTGCTCACTGCCGGTTCCAGTGGGAACTTCATCGTCATCGCGGGCACGACGCTCGCTCTGATTGCGCTCACCTGGGCCGGAGTTCGCTTCCCGTGGAACTCGCCCCACGTCCTCGCACCGCTGGTCATCGGCATGGCGCTCATCGTCACCTTCTTCACGTACGAGGCGACGATCCCCGCAGAGCCGACCGTTCCTCTCGACCTCTTGAGCCATCGCACGGCGCTCAGTGGGTGCGTGCATCGCTAGCGCTCGACGGCATCCAGCTCACTGCCACCACCACTCCTACCCTGCAGCTACATATCGACCTTTTTCGTGGGCATCACCCTCATTTCTGCACTGTGTACGTCCAACGATCTCGCTTTTTCGTCGTGTCTGATCGCGGTGGCTGCAGACTACCTGCCGGTGTACTTCCAGGCGTGCCTGGGGGTCTCTCCCTTCCGCTCGAGCGTCGACCAGCTGTCCGCCAACCTGTTCTCCCCGCTGTTTTCCATCATCGCCGGCATCGTGATCAAGAAGACGGGCAGGTATCTGCCGATCAACGTGTTCGGCTGGACGGTCCAGATCATCGGCTTCAGCCTCCTGACGCTCCTCAAGGCGGACTCGCCTACCGGGCTCTGGGTCCCGCTGCAGATGATCGCCGGGGCTGGTGTCGGATCGATCGTGAGTCTCGGTCGCGTTCATTGGAGCGTTCGCTCACCGTAGTGTGCGCAGTGGGCTGGGAACGTCTTCCCGATCCTGGCCGCGGTGCCGGTGCCGCGCATGGCAGCAGCACTCGCGTTCCAGAACTTTGTCCGCAGCTTCGGTCAGGTCAGTCCCCTGGCCCTGCGTCCACCGTAGTATTTCTACTGACGACCCTATGCGAATGTGCAGACGTGGGGCATCACCATCTGTGCGACGATCCTGCAGAACGAGCTGAAGCGACGGCTCCCGGCCGGGTTCCTCGCGCAGTTCCCAGCCGGCGTCGAGGTCGCGTACGCGGCCATCCCGCTCATCCCGAGACTCGAGGAGCCGCTGCGGACGGAGGTGCGGGTCGCGTTCGCGGAGTCGTTGGCGGTGGTGTGGAAGGTGATCGCGGGGGTCGCGGCGTGCGGGTTCGTGACGCTCGCGATCCTGCGGGAGGTGCCGATGCACACGGTGACGGACGATCGGTTTGCGCTGCAGGAGAGGCGCGGGGCTGGTGGGGACTCGGAGGCTGCAGTGGTCGGAGGCGAAACGAAGGAGGCGTCGATGGACTCTGGGAGCGAGAAGCCGTTGTGATTGTACCTGCGTTGTGTTGACCTCAAACTGTCGTTTCCATGTATATGTTGTAGAGGATGAACGTGTATGGCGCAGAGGACGTTTGTGCGATCCCAGCCGTTGTCGCGCCATGCTCTGCCATTCCGCCGCTACTGCATGCGTCTCTGAGCCGCCTCTGAGGCGACCAAGTTGGCGTACACACTCATCGGTGCGGAGTTCACGTGTCCACGCAACGGTGTAGTCTCGGCTCGTGAACGAGAATAGCACCGGCACAGGTCCGCCCCTGTGCATACCCGCCGGCGTCACGCTCAGGAACGCCCACAGAAGAGGTTCGCGGGAACGCGCCCAATCTGGCACCCGCAGCACGCCCTGCGCAGCGAGAGCGGAGCGGCGGAACAACGCTGGGTGTTCGGACTATCGATCGAGCTCCGACCTCCGATCAACGTCGGGGCAGTCGGCGGTCGGCGCGATCTCTCGCTATGCTTCTGTGGTACAAGCTCTGGGCTGTGCGATTGGTGCCCCACCTCCACTCTTGGCCCGCAAGCGCGCAAAGATAAGTCCGAAGCCGACATCCAGGCTTCCACAGAAGACTGCTAATACACCGATGTCAAAAGGTAGCAATCTTCAACGACAACAGTCCAGGATCCTCCACGACAGAGACATGGCAGTGACGAGGTGCCAAATAGATACAGTTCCATGGCTCCAATCATTCGATCGCTAGAACTAGGTCCTTCTCCTCCACTCCTACGTGAGACACCGACTCATCCTCGTGGCCGTGGACGTGGTTCTCCATCTCCGTGGTCACCCTGATATCAATAATAGACGGCGGAGTCTCCGATGGGAGCTGTCCGGAGTAGTGTGAGAAGGGTCCCCACGAACAGATGGATAGACGCTACCTGTGGCACGTTGTATCTCGCGACCTGTGCCAGTCGGTCCCTGTGTGAGAGAGCATCTATGATGACTGTGTTTCCGCCAAGGATGTTGAGCTCCGTAAAGAGGAGCTTGCGCGAGTTGAGGCTGTGGTGGGGATAGTGAGCAGAGGTGCAACGGGCTGCTGCAGCTACTCACACGCTCAGCAGCGTGATCGAGTCGACTGCACCCAAAAGGAATCCGTATGAGCGGGATGTCGGTGAGCATGCGGGGAGAGCACGAACGTCGGATAGATATCAGATAGAATATGCTCCAGTACAGCGTGCCCGGAAGTGCGAACGTCTGAGGTGTGGAGGTAAGCTGGGGTGTCGTCGTGAAGGAACGAAGAGAGCGTACCAGAATGAGAGTGGTGAGGTCGGCAATGCTGGCGATGTGAAAGGGTGAGTCGTGGGGGCCAATGCCGCAACCCGCGATACGCACAGAATAACGATCCCTGTGCACAAATTCAGCGGCGCTCATAAGCTGTGTGGATGACACGGCATCACCTGTGTTCACGACGTAATGAGTGATGAACTCGGACACCGTGTGGGCCTCCCTGTATCAGCGTTAGCTCTCCATCGCGATGCGTGTCGAAGACGACGGACTTGTTCATGCGACCCGCACGCTGGAGGACGCCAACGAGCGACAAGGTGAGCGACACAGCCGTGACCGTCGCACAGCTGAAGAGGATGGATCGAAGGGGCTGCACAAGACGTCCGCGTCAGCGCGGGGAAGATCTACTCCAGAGCGAGAATGAATACCAGTTCTTCAGTAGCGAAGCTCGTGGATCCGCTCTGGAAGCTGGTAGTGCACGGGTCAATGATACAGTTTACTGAAACGCATGTTGCAGACGTACGCTTTGACGGTCAGAACTGATGAGAACAAAGGTCAGCACTCGAGGGAGGCAGAGCGATGGCGTCGCACGCACCGACACTGCATGCTGAAAAGGGGGTGGCATAAGATCGAGTGTCGTTACGCAACGGAAACTGTGCTTACCCGCGGTTCCTGCCGAGCAAACTGCCTGCAGGTGTGGGTCAGACGAATGTTCCGACCGCAACACGTGAGATACACGCACAGAGACGCCAGCCACGAATTTGTATCTGAACGAGACTGGGAGATGTTTAGACGCAAACCCAACAGGAGCAAGCACAGAACGTACTCAAGGACACTCGTCGGGCAAAAAACCTGGATGATTGGGTGTGTAAGGCTTCGGGAAGCGACATGAAAGATGAACGTACATCTGTGTAGCGCATGCTATTGCAGCCTTGTGTCCGAGGTCAGCTCCCGTACAACGACTCACAAGCCATGAAAACGTACCCCAATGGGAGTCAGCAGCTAGGTTGTCATGCATTCAGCGGAGATGTTCAGTCAATGTTTCGGAAAGCTCACGTTCAGGGACCTGTAGACACGATGAGATCTATCAAAGAAGTATAAACGATGGAAACCCACCACACAGCGAGCTGTAGATGTACTGGATCGAAATAGTGTGAAACCAAGTAGTAGTACCTGAGTGTATCGTCAGCCGCGGGAACCATGAGCCCCAAGGACCAAGATGAGCACTTACGCTGCATGCGCAATTAAAACCATGTGTGTTGTGTCCAGGAGTCTATGACGGGGTTTAGAACGACATTCTGCGATGCGGCGTGTACTCACACCACCAAGGCCACCTGAAATCGCTGCGGTTAGGAGCTGTGGAGTGGAATGTAGGAATGTTCATGTACTACGCACCAATGCGATGATGTGAATGGGGTCGGAGTAGTGGTTGCGCGCGTAAGTGTACCCTTGGAGAAGGCTTACGCCAAAAAGGCTAGAACTGGTTCAGAACGAGCCCAGAGTGTGAAGCTTTGTCGAGTCTCACATGAAGCTGAGGAAGGAGCCAACAAGCATGGCGCCGAAGGTGGGCTCCAAAGACGGAAGGGCGTCGAGGAGGGCCTGGGGCAGCGCGCCATCGGTCGCGCCAGTCATGTTTGTGCCGTTCATCGTTGTTGGAGCGGTGGGGGAGGAAGAGTTGAGCACCACTGTTGCCTCGCTGTCCGGTGGGCGCGAGGTGGAACGGGGATTATATCCGTTCTGGCGGTGCAGGGGAGCGTGATATGGGGCGAGAGAAGATACACAAGAGATAACACTGCTTGCGGAGATGGTTTACGGCGGCCAGGAGCTTGACGGGGGCGGTGGGACCTCAGGCCCGATGGCTGTCGCGGCGTCGTTGAAGTGTATAGGAGTGCGCTCAACATCAAGACCGCCAGAGAAGCAACGAAGTGAGAGTACGGACCGGGGCTAGAAGTGTCCTCTGATGGGTGATGTGCGGTAGCATGCTCCGCGCCCCCACAGCTGCACACATTCTGCGCACTGGCTGCCAGGTGCTTCCTCTTCCTGGGCGCATCGTGTCTGAGCTTTGAAGCGCTGAATGCAAGCGCCAGACATCAGATTGATGTGCTTACAAACCAGCGCACAGGCCGGAAACGGGCCGGCCGCGGACGGCCCTTCATGACCACCATCCTCTCACTGTCCGCCGTGGCACCAGCCCCCGCCACCAGTATAGTTCCGGCTCACCTGGGTCTCTTCACGTCTGGTGATCGGCCCAGTTGGCGTCGTGCTTTGCGCGATTTTTCGCCTTCAACGCGCACTGAGTCCTATCGACGGCATTTGCCTGCGCCGTCTTCCTCACACCTGAGTACATACGCATCGTACTCGGCGGTCGCCCCAGCGGACCCTGTCGCTCTACCTGTACGTTTACCCGCCAACGCGATCTGATGAATTCGACGAACAACGAGGAAGCAAACCCAGAGTCTTCCCGAGCGCCCGAGACGGCCGCGACCTGTGCACGGAAGCCCGCCCGGGGTGCTCAAGGTTCAGGTTCCAGCCGGGGATGATCATACCCCTGCACAGTTGGACATGTACCGAGGAGATCCCGCATTAGTGGACGCGGCGCGCTCCATGATGTGCACGGTCTGCACATTCGCCGCTGGCGTGGCAGCGAGCGGCGGAGCGCGGGAGCGCGCGTGCCCTCAGGTTGTGGGCGCATGAGAACGATGCGCGTGGAAGGGGGGGGCTGGGGCTCGGCGGAGGTCCCCTAGTCGCGTGGTCACACCTCGCGGAGCGCGTCGTCGGAGATCGCTCGACGCGTCCCTACCGGATGTCCAAGCGGTCTTCGCACTGGGGTCCGGCGGAGGAGGCAGAGCCCACGTCCCAGGGCTCGTGACATTCTGGCTCGCGGTCGGGTACGGTCCTCCGAACTTCTTCGGGGATGGGAAATGCTGAGCCGTTTGCGATATTGCGGCCTCGGGTTCCCACCGATGACCTCATGTGCAACGCGCGGGGTCGGTGTGCCGTATCACGCTCGTGACAACCTCTGTTTCAGGCGAAGGGGGGAAAGCACGGCTTTTTCTGCGGCTCTGCAGAAACCAGGCCTAAGAGATCTCTTCTGGAGAAAATGACTGGTCGACTGGTATCCACGTTGAGTGACTTGAGTCTGCGAAGCCCGTCGACAGCAAAGGTCCGTGCAGTCACATGATCTCAAAATGTCACATAACGTGAGCGGGTGTGACGGCCGGCGGCACTGTCCCAGCTGGCCATGGGCCCCAGCGGCTTCGGCTATACCACTGACATTCAGAAGCTCATTACGCACCCGGCTAGGCCCTCCAACTTCCATCGGAGCCCTCAGATGCGGCGAGCTCGGCGTTTGTGGGTCTCCCCTTCGGAAGTGCGAGCCTCGAGCTGACATGCTGTTTTCAAGTTGCTCTCCACCGGTCACCAGCGGGGTGGGTAAACAAAAGAAATTACCACTGCGTATGGTTACTGGCACCCCATCAACGCGAAGCCGATCACGCACGAGTGATTCCATACCAGGTCCGCTGAGCCATCTGAACACCCGGCGCCCGCACCGGCTTTGCCAAGTGTGCGTCGTTCTAGCCCTCTCACGTACTATCTTCCATTTTGAATGGCCAAGCACATCAAACGTCGATGTACGCTAAATATGGGCTCCGTCTCCGTGCGCGCAGCGCTGACGTTGTTCCTCGAGACGCCAACGGTTGTGGTCGTCTTTTGTGACGACGGTGGGCTGTGACGTTGAAGCAAGCTTTCACTAGCGAGCGTGCTGGAGCTGAGTAGCATCGGACGCCTACAAAAAATGTGGACATCCGCCGTGCATGCTATGCTCCACATTTTGCCGGTGCAGCTGCTTGTCCTCGGCAAGTTGTGTGCTCGGCGAAGGGAAACCGGTGATATCTCCTGCGGAGCAGCAGAACATCGACTGTGGGCCCGTCTGTGAACTGGCCACATGGTTCCCTCTGATGGCGTGGTTGAATCTTCTTTTCGGAATCAATCTCCAGCCAAGAGAGCGCTCGAGCTGTGCCGGGGTGTCAGCACATATCAGCGTCGACCGCGCGCAGAGACTTCCAGCTGCATTCCTCTGCTCACTCTATCTCCTTCTGTAAACTCACTCGCGGAGCGTGCTCGTCCCCGTCATGTCCGCGGTGCCAGCTCTACCGAAGATACCTGGAGTGCCGGAGTCGTTGGGGACTTCCCTGATCGGGACCTACTCCGGTTTGTTGTGCGTCATATTGCGGCTTCCCTGTGGGCGGTACAGACCATTTACTCTTCCTTGCAGACTGTATGGAATGTCGCTGTTGCAAACATGGCGATACTTCGTCCAATATCCGAACGACCGTCTGGTCTTCCGACTTACGGTAATGCGTTTCCTATCGCTCATACGTCGAACTCCCCGCTGACCCAGGTGCACCACAGGTGATCATCATGACGTATGCTACGTCCTCTGCATTTGCTGTTGATTCTTAACTTAGACGCGTCGCAGAGTATTCAATACACTCCATTCCGTCTTGTTCATGCATACGTGGTAGGTGATACTCTGATCGTATGCGGTGAATCTGGTACTAACAACCGCACACAGCTATTATTATCTCATCCTCAAGTACTTTCATCCCGAGGTTCTCCCCAAGGCAGTTTGGTTCGTCCCTTTGCATACGCTTCAATATCTCAACTTACATACGTTCATACATAGGTCAACCTGGGTACGTCCTCTCCTTGGTACCGTCTAATTGAATCCCACTGAACGCGCACTTTAAGCTGGTCGTGCCGAGTTCAGTAAGTAGGTTGCCTCTTTCTCTTCACAACGACTCATCACGCGGTCATAGATCGTCATCGTCCTTATCGGAGAAGCGTGAGTGATCCGGTCCATGAATCATGCACATGCCGTTCTTAATCAACATTTTGTCTTCAGCTTCTACGCACTTCGGGTCTATAGACGTACGTGGCATTCTATTGAACACGTTATGTGTGCTCATACGAAGCATCAGTGGGAGGGTGGCGCAGATATGTCGCCATTATAGCGGTGCGTATGCGTATAGCCTACCTCATCGGCCGTTCTTTGAGCTCTTTTAGACCCTCCTCATGGCCGGATTCGTGGGTGAGAGCGTTTTTATTGCTGCAATGCTTCATGCTCATGGCTTCCTTTCAGCATTCGAACTGGGTGAGTTTCTCCTGGAATCGGAACCGCGCCGGACGTCACCTGATACGGCTTGGACATCAAGTGGCAGCCTACGAGTTGTAAGTGAGTCGCTGATGAAGGAATACAACTATTGATTTATTGTCGCGCCCTTCAGAGCCCGTCACCCTGAGATCCCTGAATGGGCAGGGTACACAGTGGGTATCGAGTGATCTTTCATCTTACGGAGGCTCACCATGGATCGAACCATTGACAGTGGCTCACCTCCGCGGGATTCTCGTTCTCTTTCGTCGCGGATATCGGGCTGTGCGTATCCTTATGCATTTTCTTGCATACCAATCGGACTGGCTTCAAGAAGTAAGTTCATTCTGACATTCAATGATGGACCTCGGATGCTAAACACCCCGCCATAGCACGGATTCCGTTCTCAACATGCTCCTAGTGTACACCGTCAATACAGGTAAGAGCTTCCCGCTGCGATCAATTTCTAGTACTGAAAATCGCACAGGATTCCTCATATGGCAAGTCAACGATTCGCGCCTCTTTGTATCGTTAACATTGCGTCCACAGTACTTTAACCCTCCTCTGTGTCATCTTCGTGCGTCTCTTGGATTTCACGAGTTTCTGTTGTATGGCTGAATGCCACGAACAGGGTCTCAAGCATGAGGGCACGGATAATTTGACATTTGTTGCAGTTGGCGTGCCTACAGTGAAGGGTAAGTAATCTACACAGCGGCCAGTCTTCATATCGTTCGCTCACCTCACCTTCGTGCAGCGTATCCTGTGTCTGTCTTGGCCATGTGAGAGTCTCCATCTTTCGCATCGATCTATGCTGACCGATGCTCCAGTCTCAACTCTCGTAGTGGCTTCGGGTTCGCTACCCGGTCGGACAACTTCGCGAGCTTCGGGATGGACGTGACCCAGCCCGCCGAGTCTCCAACCCGGAGAGTCACAACGGTAAGCGGGTACCAATGACTGTTCCATTCACATTTCTCAGGCGACCTCGTCGCGGACAGATCTCTACTTCCGCTCACGTTAGCCCGCGACCTCGTTCCGGGATGCAGGCGCGCGTTCGGGCGAACATGCGGGACAAGGGGCTCAAGACGAGCTTGGGTCCTCCTAGCGAGTCCCGTGTCTTCCACGTACGTCTTTTCCTTTCAACGCTTCGCACTTACCGCGTCCTCATCTTCGTCCTGACAAAGAACCTCACGGCGGACCGCGAGGACGCTTCGACGTTCCGGTCGGACTCGTACGAGTTGAAGCCGTTCTCTGCTCGCAGCGTCGGGTATACGTTCAATAACGCAGTGTAACACGTACGTGGTGCTTCGGAGAGCTCATCGGAGAGCTCGGATACAAGGGGTCTCGGCTGGCGTAATGTAACATGTCTGTTTCGGACTTTGTCTTTGATATATAGGGTTCCCCCGCAATCTACATAGTGCTCTGTGCACGTCGCGTGTGTGAGGAGTGCTCCCGCGGACACCAGTTACTACGGGATGTCCGGGTCTGCACCTAACTGAGGATGCGCCAGCCACTCATGGTCGGAGGCGAAGCGAGGACATCACGGGAGATCGTATGTGGGTAGAGGAACTGACTTTGCGCTCCGCAGACTGCATATTATCGACTTCAGAGGTGTGCACCGGTGTCGATACTCTGATACTGATGACCTCAAATGAACCTGCGTTCGAACGGGCAAGTCGAAGAAAGATAATGTCGTGGAGGCATGAGTGATGAGCCAGTGACTGACTCGCCGATACGTCCTGGCGCATCATCGCCATTAATTCTTGGATTCCGGTAACCACATCGTCACGCCCGTGTCGTTGTCTAAAATGACGGTCTGGCCGGACCCCTCCCATGGACCGGCCGCGACGGAGAGCGTAGTCACCAGCCGAAGGACTCACCACTGCTTCCTCGAAGTCCTTGTTGTCGGCCACCACGGGGTGGGCTGATTCCGGTGCGCTTCGCCGCCCGTGCGTTCTCATCGCGCATACGGCACCCACAGAAGGACGTAAATACGAGAGATGTACCTGTGCGAGGATAACGTCATGCAGAGCGTCTGGACCGCATCGATGGACATGCGCGCCTCGCCCGCGCGGCGAACGGGGAGAACGACGCCCACGAGAAGCCCGCGAATCTCACAACAGCGCAAGGTTCGGGGGAGGCAGGCTGCGCAAACCTTGTTCTGCTTCTGAAGTTGTTCTCGGTATAGGGGTGATTGATTCCGAAGGCGAGCAGACGGTGCGAGTGCGAGTTTTGAGGTCTGAGGAACAGCACGTGCTGGAAGAGACCCAGAGAGTGTCGTGTGCAGCTGAAGGGGTACGAAGTCATTTGTAGGCTGGTCAGAGCAGCGAAAGCAGCGGATGCCAAAGGAGAGCCTGATCAAGCGCCGGGAGCGCGAAAACTTCGCGTAGGCGTCTGACTCAGCATTCGGATGATCCCGATTCGGCATCCGGCAACCTGCAGCGCCGACTCGTCCTCATCTGGTTGCTGCCTAGGAAAGATCTCATTTCATTCGGCGGTTCTAGCTCACCGGCATCGGATTTGTATGATCCGGCAAGCAGGCCCACACATATCGGATCGCCCGTGAACTGTTCGGGAGAAGGTAGAGGACCGCACTGCGGAACATAGTGTATGTCCGTGGGTGAGTGGACTGCATGTGATCACTGAATACATTCTCGGCGGCTCTTCTTGCCTTCTGTGGTCGGCGGCGTCGGACACGCGTGGTCCACTGCGCGCCCGAGAAGTCACCGATCCCGATCGCGCTGGTCCCCGGGCGGCGCGCGTTAATTGAGCATTTACACTGATACCGATCACTGGCAGGTATAGAGAGAGATGGAAGCCCGTTGTAGTAGAACTCCCCGGTTCTCTAAAAACTCTTCCATATCATAGATGGATGCTATTCGGCCAGAGTAAGGGTTGGATATTTGATTTATGCTGCAATCTGGGGTACCGGGTGGACACACCAACGCGACCTGGAGCAGGATGCCACAATCACGAAAACATTCCACCCGAAAATATTCGCAGTGCCGTCGAGGGAGCGTGTGATAACATCGAATATATTGTATCTCCAAGATGCTCATATGCGACAAGCATGCAAAGGGATCCCGAGACCGGCTGGAGTCCCGGTCAGCCGCACACACGTATTCATATTAAGGCTAATGGTCAATCGGCCCACTCATGGACGTCTGGACCCCTCTTTACCGCCCTCGAGCTCACAGTCCTTCGTTTCCTCCTTCTCCGCATCGTCATTCTCCAGTCCGTATGTTTCGTCCTTGTGCTGCTGCATCGGTACCTCCCGCATGAGCATGACGGTGAGGATACCCGCCGCCGCAAATCCGAGAATTGCCTTCCAGACAGTCGACATGCTCTTCGCAAACGCCGCGCGGACTTCGTCGCGGAGCGGGTCGGGGAGCCCGGGGATCTCGGGGATCGCGGCGTAGGCGATCTCGGCACCGGCGGGGAAAGTGAGCAGGAAGTCGGCAGGAAGGTTGGACTTGAGCTCGTTCTGGAGGATGGCAGCGGAGATGGCGACGCCCCAGGTCTGCATACAGAGCGAGTGTGACTAGCAGGGACGGTTGCGTCCGAGAAGATGTACGTACCTGGGCGAACGTGCGGCAGAAGTTGTAGAAGGCGAGGGCGGAGGCGGCGCGGGACACAGGGAGAGGCGCGAGAATGGGGTACACGGTCGTCGCCCACTGCAGACAGTGGAGTCAGCCCTTCGGTACACTTTACCGAAAACGAAGCACGCTCACGATGGTGCCGATGCCGGTGCTGGTGATGACCTGGAAGCCGACCCATTGGCCGGCATCCGAATCCGCCTTGAGGAGAGACAGAAGGCCCAGTCCGACGAGAATGAACGCCCAGCCGATGACGTTCGCGGGTCGATACTTCTTCACGACTTTGACCACGACACCGGAGAAGATGGCCAGCCCGGCGACGACCAGTCCGAGAGGGAAAGTGTTGATCGCTGAGCGGATAGGAGTAACTTCTTTGCATGCCTGGAAATAGACCGGAAGGTAGTCTTTGATTGCGGTAAGCAAACATCGTAACCAGAAGCAGGAAAAACACACGTACAGATCCCGGTGATTGAGATGATACCGTGGAAGAACGTCGCGATGTACCCGGCAAGACTGGTGCGATTCGCGAGGATGTCGAAGGGCAGAGCGGGAGACTTGGCGACAAAGGTCTCGTACACAAAGAAGAGGAACACGAGTATGAAGCCGAGGATGAGTGGCCCGAGAACATGCGTTGAGTTCCACGGGAAGCGGATGCCGCCCCACGTGAGGCCAATCAAAGCGAGCGCTGTGCCAGCGATGATGAGAAAGTTGCCGCTGGATGTGCCAAGTTAGACAGCACGGCGGGCAGCGGGGGATTCAACACGCACATGAAGTCGATGCGGGCAACTTTCTCGCGAAGCGTACCAGTGGGGGTTCGGACGCGAAGGAAAATCATAGCAAGGAAAAAGGCAATCCCAGCAAGCGGCAGGTTGACATCTGGGTGAGAAAATGTCAATCGCGGTCGATTTCATTTGCGTGGACGGAGGGCTCACAGAAAAGCCACCTCCAGGTCACTTTCTCGGAGAAGGTACCACCCTGTGTAGCAAGTAAGCGCGTGGGTGATAGCAAAAATGAAAGAATACGACGGACAATCAACGGCCCGACACCCGCAGCAGCCGACCATGTGAGGACAAGGAGACCCTGGTAGAGACCACGCTCGGCCAAAGGAATCAGGTCAGACGTGATGATTGTCGCCAGGTTGATGATTCCTCCGCCCCCAATTCCCTGTACAGCTGCACCATTTGATAAGCATGCGGACCGAACGACTTCAGCGTGGAGCGGCGAGAAACAGTGGGTCGCATCGCGACGCACATCAAACACTTACTTCGTGCAGCAATGAGCCAGGGCATGTTTTGAGCGGTGGCGCATAGAAGACTGCCAAGAAAAAACAGGCCTACGCAACCGAGCATAGTTGGACGACGTCCAACGATGTCGGCGAGCTGTCCGGTGAAGGGGAGGAATGCGGCAGCCGCGAGGTTGTAGGCGGCGCCGACCCAGACGAACTCATCGCCTCCGTTGAGGTCCTTGGTGATCGTCGGAAGGGAAGTGGCCACAGCAGTCGCATCGAGCGCGCTGAGGAAGTTGCAGACCACGACGGAAATGTAGGATAGCCAGAAGATAGATCCCTTGGGCTTCTTAGAGGGGGAGGCCATTGTGGTTGGAAAGTCAAATCAGACGGAAGCGGACAGGAAGACGGATGCGCAAGTGGACACGAGGATATAGAAGGCAATAAGTGAGCCGAGGACATCGTGTTTTCGGGGGCTCCCCATTTCATGTGGGACTCTGGGGGATTTAGCACGCCGAGGGAGTGAGGAGGGGAAGCAGGGAAGGGTTGGCGAATGATCATCGAACGGAGTCTCAGATCCTGAACACGAGTCAACTTGCGCTCGCGGGCGCGGGGAATCTCACGCGCGGTTGCAGGACCCACAATTTGAACGCTCGGCAGCCGTCTTCCGTTTGATGTGGCATGATGACATCTCAGAAAATGCACAAATTGGTCAGCTTCAAGCCTTCGGAACTACGGACTTACGAGGTCGCGTTCTGACATGCGTCGGGCGTTGACTACTTATGTCCAACAGTCACGGCGGTGTCAGTGAGGTCATTGGGAAGTGCGTATGTGACCCTGGCGCACCCATAGGCATTGGCAATGGTAGGCGGTTGGGCTAGGTTGGGAAAGAATAAGCACTTGTGAGCTGGCACGCGCGGTGGAGGAGACTAGATTCGGCGCGTCAGCGCTTGACCAGCACATATCTGGCAGCGCGAGACACTTCTCACGCGCACTCCCTGCGCCTTCGCCTACATCGCACGAGGGGAAGATAAGGAGGTAATCCGACGCCGGTCGGACAGAAGCCCAACCGTGCTCACCCTCCGCGCTTCGAGTAGGACAACGGGCCCGAGGTCCCACCGCGCGGCTCGACCGCACAACGCGCGGGCGGGCCCCCGGCCGTTCCCGCGGTACGGTTTGTGGGTGCTTCTGCCGTGCCGTGAGCTTCGCGGACAAATTTGCAATCGGCGATGGGGCGACGAGGTCCGGAGGCGCAGGCGGCGATGTCGGCGGAGAAAGGGTATGCGGTACAGGGTCGTGATAGTTCGTCGTAGAATGACTCTACGGTACAGCCAAAATGAGTAGTAACTTAGCTACTGGTCCGCCGCAGCCGAAATTCGCACGGCCCATCAACTTCAAGCGTCGGAGGACTGAGTCTCTGCCGTTCGGAGGACTGCCTCGTCCGCCTCGAGGGAGCCCCCCTTAGTCGGCAGCTTTTGCTGGCTCCGATCCTCGAGTCCGTAGCGATCGTCCATGACGGTGTGCATGGGGACCTCCTTGAGGAGCAGGACGGTGAGCAGGCCGCCGCCGGCGAGGCCGGTCATGACCTTCCAGACGACGGACATCGAGGCTGCGAACGCGGCCCGCACCTCCGTCTTGAGTGGCTCCTCCAGCCCGGGGATGATTGGGATTACTGCGTAGGCAATCTCGACGCCCTCCGAGAACTGTGCCGCGAACGCGGCAGGCAGGTTCTTCTTGAGCTCGTTTTGGAGGATAGATGCGGAGATCGCAATTCCCCATGTCTGCAGCGCACCATGTGAGCTAACAGCGGAAAGGATGTGGGGTGACGACGCACCTGAGCAAAAGTGCGGAGGAAGTTCTGGAACGCGATTGCAGCCGCAAATCGGTGAACAGGGATAGAAGCGAGGATAGGGAATACTGTCGCGGACCACTATGGGCAGCCGTGAGTAGATATGACAAGCGAGTGGAATTGCACTCACAATAATACCAATGCCCGCAGCAGTGAGGACTTGGAAGCCAGCCCACGCACCAGTCGAGGAGTCGGCCTTCAAGGTGGTGAAGAGCCCGAAGCCGATGAGCATGAATATCCAGCCAACGATGTTGACAAGCAAATATTTCCCGGTCTTCTTCACAACACCGCCAGTAATGAAGGAAATCGGTGCGCAAACGAGTGTGGTACCGAGAAGCTTAGTGCTGGACTGGAGCGGGGTAGCTTCCATGCAGGCCTGGAAGTACACAGGGAGATAAACTGCATGGAGAGGTTATAGAGGGACTAAGAAGCAAAATACGTGTACATACAGATAGTCGTCAGCGTGAGGACACCGTGGAAGAAGGTGGCGATGTATCTTCATACAAGTCAGCATCGGGTCCCCTGAGTGATACCTCGCACTCACCCACTGACGGCAACCCGGTTTTTCATCACGTCGAGGGGGATTGTAGGCTCCTTAGGTACCAGAGTTTCGTACAAGAAGAAGCTAAAGATAAGAATGAAGCCTAGGATGAGAGCACCCAGAACATGTGTGTCCCCCCAGGGGAACTGGATACCACCCCAAGTAAGCCCGATGAGTGCAAGAGTCGTCCCGGCAATGATAATCAAGTTACCACTGCAGACGATGTAAGAGATGGACGAGATATCGTAACGAACTGAGAACGTACATCCAGTCTATACGGCCTAGCTTCTCTTTGATCGTGCCGTCTGGGGTGCGGACGCGGAGGAAGGCTGCAACAAGGACGAAGGAAACTCCAGCCAAAGGCAAGTTGAGGTCTACACCGAGAATAAGATACAACATCTTCATTTTCAGGTTGCGTTTGTGGACGCGACTCACAGAACAACCACCGCCATGTTGCGTGCTCGGTGAGAACTCCAGACTTGGCGCCCAAATCAGTACATACACATGTCAAAGGACAAACACTCATCACCACTCACAATTGAAGGCCCAGTAGCACCTGCAAGAGCCCAGATGAGAATGAGCAGGCCTTGGTACGTCCCGCGCTCAGCCAGCGTGACTAAATCGCCGAGGATAATCGACCCAAGGTTGACGATCGCGCCACTGCCGATGCCCTGGACGGCTGGGGCACGTTATAAGCACACGTATGTGCGCGCGTGAAATATTGTGTACTCACCGCGAGCCGTGATCATCCAAGTCATATTCTGGGCCGCGCCGGCGAGGGCGCTTCCGAGGAGGAAGATGGAGATGGAGACTAGCATCGTCGGGCGACGACCGAAGACGTCCGCAAGACGACCCGAAAAGGGAAGGATGGCGGTACTGGAGAGACCGTAGGCAGTTCCAATCCAGACGAAGTTGTCGCCACCATGGAGGTCGTTTGTGATTGTCGGGACCGCGGTCGAGACGGCGGTCAGGTCAAGCGCGCTGAGGAAGTTGGCGACGACAAGAGCGATAAAGCAAAGCCAAAACGTCGAGCCTTTGCCTGAGCCTGAGGAAGGGGGGGATTCGGAAGTTGTGGAAGCCATGTGAGGGTGTGATGGTGGTAGAGGGGGTAGAGGGTGAGTGGAGTGGAGGATCGGAGGGGCGAAAGTGTGTGTGGTGAAGAAGGGACTCAGTGGCGGAACGGCAGAGAGCCGGAGAAACAACTAAGAGAAATCAAACTTGAAGGCGATGCGCAGGATGCCAGGCAGCTGCAGTGTATCATATCGAAGCTTTCCCGCTGCGCGCGAAGACAAAGACACGTACGTCACATGCGGCATGAATACATGAAGAGGGCTATGCCCCGACGCGGCGACACCCTGGTCGGCCCGGCCGGCCTTCCCCGCCTCATCCCGGCCGCCGCCGCGTCGGCTGTACCGTACGCTCGAGCACTCGTGTTTGACGATGACCGCCCCCACCTGTCGCCCGCCGAAGTTCAGATCCGGTGCAGCTCGTCTGTACCACTACTACAGCCCATTTTCTTTTGCCTCCAGTCAGTTCTATCCATTTCTACACCCTGCGCGCCACATACGAACTGACCAACCGTGCTTAGTACTTATGCTGGTGGTGGATCGCCGGATCCGTCCGTACAGCCCCGAGCGGGGAGGACGTGGATGCGCACTTGACCCGCTCTGTATCCTCCGGCGAGCTTTACAGAACGTGCACGGTAGCGAGCGCCCTGGAAGGTACCCATACTGTGCACCACATGCTCTACAGTCACCCTCATCGCCCTTCGCGCCCATCCTTGCCGGATATCGGGCAAACGGCGCGACGTGGAAGCCGAAGCGAGCCCCGCCGCGCTGATGGCGATGTCCACCTTCAACTGTGATGACGCGAAGGACGAACTCTGCAGCGATGTCCCGGAGCTTCGCAGAACCCGGGCGATGTTATCGCGGCAAAAGCTTTTGCGCGTGGTAAACTAGGTGGTCTGGAACATGGATGTGTGGGTGCAAGAGAAGATTCGAAATATGCCAACTGAAGCGCTTCTCCAGACTCCAGTCGACAGCGATTTTGTTCGACAGCTAATCGCACTTCGGCGTATTTAATACTTTCCGAGTATGCCTTTACGAACCTCTCGCTTGTGATCCAAACATTTTGATGCTGCGGATGAGTCGGCATTTCATCTTTGGTGATACGCCTTAGGGCCGGCGCGAGCTCAGAGCGAGGGAGTTCAGGTGAGAATAGTGATCACCACGGGTGGCCACCACCCGTGCGGGTTGGCGGGTCGGGTACCACGGGTAAGGGTCCGGGTCGTGCTTGGCTGACCCGTGCACCCGCAGGGTGAACCCTTGGTGACCCGTGGTGACCCGTAGGCTCGGGGTGCATTATACGTGTAATAAATAGCATTGAACCATATCAGAAGGGAGCATGCTATGCGGATGGGGGAACAAGGGCCGCATGCCACAATGCGCGCACGAAGCCCACGTAACAAGCGTGAGCGAGAGACAGACTCAGAAGTCCGCCTCGGCTGACCTGGAGACGGCGTGTGGCATGCGCGTGCCTGGAAGTGCTCGCGTTCCCACTTGCGGTCCACGGCGGCAGCGAACACGCGCTCGGCCGAGAGCGCGGCGGCGGCGAACGCGCGTTCTGGTGCAGGCAGTCGACCTTGGAGACGGTGAACGTCGAGCGAGACCGTGTGCGCACTCGTAGTCGCGTGCTGCCAGGCGCCGACGAGCATGTGCCCACCAACGATGTACCCGCGGTAGACGGTGGGGAGGATGGCGGACGCTGCCGCAACCACCCATTGGTGGGATCTGGACACCGACGAGGGCGACGAGGCCGTCCCAAGGGCGGACACGGCCGTAGAGCGCCCCAGGCTTGCTCGTATCGTGCGGGGGTCTGTGCGTGCGGACGTGCGTGCGGGGGCGGATAACGAGGGAGGAGTCGAGCAGAGAGAGAGGAAGACTCGGCGAGATAATAAAGGAAGTCAGCAAAGGAGAGCAGACGAAGGGAAGTACACAACCTTGATCTCGAAATACGTCTGCTCAATGTCCATGTCCAAGTCGTCGGGCTTGCCGCGCGCGAGCGCACGTCGCCCGTCTCATGCTCTTGTTCGTCCTCGCTCGAGAGGGCGTCAATGGGCTCGTCGACGCCCATGTCGAGCCCGTCCTGGACCCGCTGGGGCACGTGGTCGATGCGCTCCACTCTGACCTGCTCTTCGCCCATCGTTGTGGTTGTACTCGTGGCGGTCGTCGTAGTCGTCATCTAGGTCCGTGGTTTCGTCTTCGTCGCCCTCTGCTGCCCTCTCCGCCAAGATCTCTGCCACCGGCGCCCGTGCCTCGGCCTCCTCCTCCCTGTTTGCCACGCACGTCTCGCACGTCCCGCCGCCTGCGCCCTCGGTGTGCCGACCGCGTACACGTCTGGGGAGGAGCGGGGACGGCACGCGTTCGTCGCACTATCGTCCATCGCGTCGCTCAGCTTCCAGAGCGGGAGAGATCGACCAGGGGACACGCAGTGGCGCTTTGAAGACGAGGGTGTGGGCCGCGGCCGAGAACGGCGGGTTATAAAGCCGTGCGTCGAACGATTATGAGTGCACGGCGAGCGCGTGCCCGTCCACGTCCAGGCTCTACGTCGTCCAGGTATGCGCGTGAGTGCCGAAAAGAAACACGGAAAACGAGAAAACTCACGAGATGCCCAGAACCCGGACAGACAGCTGGGCGTGAACGCGTGAACTTGGGGCCGCCGAGGTGCATGCCGCAGACGCAGGGGTCGAAGCATGCCTTCCACTGGTCCTCCTCCTCCTCCTCCAGCCACGCGCTCAGGCTCGTCTGCCAGTCGCTCCACATCTGCCGGTCCTCCTCCCACCCCTTCACGCGATCCGGGAGCGCCGCGTGCCAGTCCAAGTCGCCGTGCGCGGGCAGGCGGGAGGCGTGCTACTCTTCAAAGTCAGCCATCATCGCGTGCGTAACTTGGATCTCCTCTGCCTCGGTGTGGTCGACGGGGAGGGCGCCGGGGGACGGGAGCTCCTGGAGGAGCTTGGTGGCGAGGGCTCGAATGGGGGCTCGGTGATGTGGATGCGGTCGCCAAAGCGAGGTACTTGGACTTGCGGCAGAGGGAGTGTAAGCCATGAGGGGTATGTCCGAGGGAAGGGAGAAGCAGGGGAGCAGAGGCGGGAACGGGGAGGAAGGGAGGAGATGCGAGCCCGTCGAGTCGCGACTGGCCGCGCGCGTGAGCGCCGACGCCAGCCGTCACACGTGACTGACCCGTGGTTTCAAGCGCCGAACCCGAGCGTACCCTGACCCGTGAGCTCACGGGTCCGGGTTTCGCGGGTCCGGGTCCGGGTCGACTCAAAATTACCCGGGGGTGACCCGTGGTGATCACTAGGTGAGAATGTACCAAGTAAACACTGGGGTTTAAGCCAGAGTCTGCTCAGCTTATATATTAGTCGAGGTGTGTCTAAAGATAGTACAGTAATATGAGTAATACACTAGAATATTAGTGAGCAAGGCCGATCGGAGTTAAGGTATGCCGATCGGTGATTAGGAATCAGAGCGCTTCAAAATGCGCGTGACATGACCCCCCTGTTTAGCTTCGAGTCCTCGCGAAGCATCAGAGAAGACTTGTGAACGTACAAACTGAGACAACCGTTCTGTATCTACATTAGGATCTCGCGATTTCCAGTCGTCGTAAAGTTGTGTCCAATAGTTCCAGTCATCAGTGTCGTAAGGGATTTGTTGATCGTGAGCGTCATAAGTCGTAAGTAGAAACCGTGTGTCCATGACGTCAACATTCGAAGATTGTTCCGGAGCGCGTATAGTAACGTGAAGTTTGGGAGCCGTGGGATTGGCTCGATGAAAAGCAGCTGCAAGCTCTCGTCCTTGTGGTATGGTCAAAAGTTCGCGACGTGGAACCCAGGTATTTTCGGAGCGAGGTAGACTTATCCACTTGATATAGTAGTGAACTTTTTCTCGTACGATCTTAGAATCTAGAACCTCTTCAGGTTGTTTCTCCGTATCTAGTATAGCAGGGAGATCTAACACGGGACTGATTTGGTTCGGGAATTGTGATTCTTTAACTGGGGAGAGAAGCGCTTCGTTGAAGACGTCGTGGATAGCTTTCCACTTGCGTGGTAACTTTAGACGGTAAGCTCCTGAGCCTACTTTCTCGACGACTTCAAAAGGTCCGTAGCGTTTCTCTTCTAGTTTCTTGCTTGATCGATCGGTACGTAGATGGAAGGAGTCTAAATACACGTAGTCGCCCGTCTTGTACTGGTGAGAGGGTGTAAAAGGACAGAAGGTATCGCACCGATGTCAGACTCGTCCAAACCTATAGATTGAGGGGACGAATACAACGGTAGTGCGAGGTGGTAGAGTGATCGCGCCCGCCGAGCGCGGGCGCGAGCTATATCTACGCGTGTCCATGTGAGTCCGATCTCGATGCGCCCGATCCGCATCGCTAACAGCCGCCCGTCCTCGCACGCGCGAGTCCTGCTCGCGGCGCGCTAGGATACCATTCCCAACTCTTAACACCCTCCCCCTCTGGACCGACGCGTAGGTCCTACTTGAGCTTCACCACAGGGCCTGACGACACCGTGATGACCGACGTGGGTGACGCGGGAGACGCCGACGATCCGGTAGCAACCGACAGCGCGGAGGTAGATGCAGGGGAGGAGGATGTCGTCTTCATCTCCGCGTCTGGTGCCTCGGGATATCCGACGTGAGGCGCGAAGCGTGGGTTGCCGTCGCGGGGGATGGAGTCGAGGAATGCAGGGGTCGTGACGTCCGACAGTGGGGGTACCATGGAGTCGGCGGCGGGGAGGTAGGAGCGCATCGCCGCTGCGAGTCGCTGGAGGTGGCGCACACGTTCGTCTCCGGGGCTGAGGCCGAGGCGTGCGAACCACGCGGCGACGTGGTAGAGTTCGAGTGAGCGGCAGTCGAAAGGGAAGGACATGCGGCCCGGCTCGATAGCGGGCACGGCCTCGGTGAATTTGCCCCAGTTGACGATCGTGCTGTATAGTCCTGCGACGGAGAACAACTCGACGGCCCCACGGAAGAAGGCGGACTCGCCGTACTCGTCGACGATGCCTGAGGGTGGGCCGCGAGGTAGGGCGATCGCGAGCGCGGCTAGCGCGGCGCAGTCGTCGGGGTGGGGTTCCGTGGTACGCATGTCGTCCCCGGTGTCCTCGGGTACACGGCCGGTCTGATCACGAACCCCAGCCGGCCATACCGTTACGGGAGTGTCGCGCAGGAAGCCGGCGATGAGTGGGATGTCGTTGGGCGCGATGGTAGGGAGGTGGCTGTTGAGAGCGACGCGCCAGTCGTGGCCGATGGATGTGGCTACCGGGATAATGAATAGCGACGAACCAGCGTGCGTTTCGCGAGCGAGACCAGTAGTCGGTGGATCAATGAGTGTGGATGGCGCGACCATGATGATGTCTGAGTGAGTGTGATAGGTCGGCGCGCCATGGTCTGAGATGGGGATGTCGGAGGGGAGTAGAGGGATGATCCCAGTATCGGGGAGGGGGTAGGATGCGTCTTCGTCGCGCGCTTTACCCTTGCCCGAGAGACGAAGGACCGCGTCCAACGCCTTGTCGAGTTGGCCCATGGCGACATGTCGATCCTTGGAGTACCGCTGGACGAGGTAGCGCTCGCCCTCGTTGCGTCGCCGGGTGCCTTCGACATGGTGCTGGTAGACGTAGCAGTAGAACCTCTTGGCGAAGTAGTCGGGATCGGTCTTGCGAAGTGCGGCCAGACGGAGGTTGTGGGCTTGATGAGCGGTGACGATCTCCGCGTTTGTCCATGGCCCAAAGTCAAGGCGCGAGAACTCCGCGACGACCGACTTGACAGCCAGTACGTTCTTCTTCGACCAGCGTCCCGTCTCCTTCTTCTCCGCTTCCGGGCCCATGTCTTTGAACTCAAGGTGGTAGGACGCATAGTTGCGCTCGTCCTCCGACCGAGTGTCCAACAGGGCGGTGTTTTCGTGCCAGTCTCTCCACGGAGTTCGCGGGTGGCTGGCGAGCGATTGATCGATCCCACCGCGATAGACACGGAGAGATGAGAGCCGCGAATCATCATAGTTGGACGACATGTCCAACACGATGTTGATTCGTGGCTCGGTCACGTTCGGGGCAGTGATAGTAGGGGCTACGGCGGGCGCGAAGGTGCGTTGATACTCCTTCGCTCCTGGTGCAGCGCGTGCGGGGCCCGGCTCGCTCTCAGCGGGGCGTTTACTGCCTCGCTCAAAGCGTGTCGGGCCAGTAGTACTGGGGGCACGGGATTCGTCGCGGCGAGCAGAGGTTTCCGCATTGCGGTATTCTCGCCGGTATCGGCTGTGCCAATTGCTGCCTCCGTCGTCCGATTCGCGATCGCGGCGTTCGAGTGCGGCGCGCATGCCCTGCAGCTCGTCGTCGAAACGGTGTTCCATGTTGCGGATGCGTTCAAGGAGCTGGTCGTTGAGGAGCTTGAACGTGGTTGCTCGCTCTTCAGCCTGCTCGAACTTGACCTTGTATTCCGCAGCCGTCTTGTCCAGCTCATCGCGCGTGCGCATCGCGTCGTCGTGCGCGCGCTCCACACGGGTGAGTTTGGAGTTGAGGCTGCTGACCTGATCAAACAGCTGCTTCTGGGTGTCCAGTAGCGACTGTGTGATCGTCGTGATTGTGTCCGATTGCGGCGCAGCTAGCACGTACGGGGGTCCCGACGGTGCCATCTGCGTCACTTGGGTGCTGACGTAACCAGGGTAGCGGCCGGCGCCCGCGTGCATGTACACGCCGCCGCCGGTCTGCGCGTATGTTCCAGGGTAGTGTGCCGGAGTCGGTGGGGGGTTGTTACTCACTGCGGGGCCGTGTCCGGCTTCGCGTGGGTATTCCCCTCCTCCTCCGACCGGTGCGTGCAACAACGCCAGGTCGATGGTGCCGTTCATGGCGACGTCCTGCGGGGGGGCGTCATGTGCATGCGGCGGTGGGTAGTAGCCAGGGTTGACGGGTACGGGCGGCGGTGGCGCGGGGTGCCAGCTAGCAGGTGTGGCTCCGGGCGCGTCCGTCGCGGGGATGTTCGAGTACGGGTTGGGGGCATAGGACATGGTGGTGAAAATGTCGGGGGTGGGGAGTAGCGCGGGCACCAGAGAAGCCCTCTTGTAACGCTTATCTGACCTCGATCTAGATCGTGATCACTGATCTGCGCGTCGTGTGCTTCTCGCAGCCGGCCCTCCGGTTTCCGTTGGGTGGCTGTGTATGCTGGCGCTTGTCTCCCGGCGCGGGAGGCTTGCCGTGTCCGATACGCCCAACAGTGCGAGGTAATCGTCGAGTGCGCGTAGTTCTTCGCATTCGGCCAATACCTCCCATGTGTGCTCGCCAACCGTCCATCGTACAAGTAGTTCCACCTTGTTACCATCCCAGCGATGTCCGACTATTTCATCAACCAGCCATTCCTGGTCGTCGGGCACGCCGAAATCGTAGAGCCGCTGCGCTTCTCGTGCAGGGAACAGATGCTCATCGCTGGTCTCATGCCTGCGCAAAAGCTTCGCGTGAAAGACTGGGTGTACCCGACGACGTTTTAATTCGTCAGGTAGATCCAATCTGTATGTTGAAGTATCTGGGTGCGCTGACAATACCGGAAACGGGCCGATAAACTTCGGCGCCAGTTTCCTAGCGCGTCCTTTCGGCAGCGACAAGTTCTGCGTAGACAGATATACTTTGTCACCTGCCTGCAGTGGGTCATCTTCAGGTGAACGGCGCTTGTTCGCTTGATGAGTGGACACCACCCGCGATTCAATTATCGCGTCATGGGCTTGTTCTAAGTGCACTCGCGCGCGCTCAACGAAGTCGCGTGCGCCCGGCAGGGCTTTCTCCACTACCGGGAACCGACTCATGGTCGGTACATGCCCATATACCAGCTCGAACGGTGCGAATCCAGTGGATGCGCTTATGCTCGAGTTGATAGCAAATTCCACTAATGGTATTTTGTCCACCCAGTCGGATTGATCGGGCGAGACGATTGTGCGAAGTATTTGAGCAACACTACGATTCGCACGTTCGGTCGCGCCGTCCGTCTGGGGGTGGAATGCCGTGGACATGAGGAGCCGGGTGCCAAGCATACGATGCACTTCGCTCCAAAAATGCGAAGTGAACTTC